AGATAGAGGTAACTGCAGACATTGTTTGGACACGGCATTCTGCCCTATTGGACACGACATTCAGATCGGACTTGCACTCTACATTGGGATTGAACTGTGTGCGACATTCGGAGATCAGACTTGGGTTGGACTTGGTTACCTCCGTCCCTCCCCCTTCTCTCTCGCATGTCTATGGATCTCTCCCCATGTGTGTGAGCGGAAGGGCAATCTTTCTGATGTCTTGCCCTTCCGAAGTTTTCTCCTTTTACATGTTGTTGTCCACGTGTCCTTTGATACTAAATCTTCCGCTGCGCTGCTTCCCATCCCATGATGATAATGATACGAATGTGTGTTGTTGATTCCTCGTTGGTTCACCATTTGCACCGTGCACATTGACATCTTGTGAATGTTGCACCTATGCTACTGGTTGTTGCCACTTTCGTCATTGCTAGATCCTAGGCTCTCAGTGCATTTCACTTTCTGATATGCTACACTCACATAGACTTCCAAGTATGCCCATACATACACAGAAGGAAGGGGAGAGGATAGGAGTATCACATCGCACAGGGAGAGATAAACACAGCGGAAGACTTGACCATGCGATATGACAGGGTACACTGAAAGTGCAATTCACTCCACTCAATCCTCACAACCAGTCATAAAGAAAAGCCAAGCAGATCACATCCAGGAAACAATGAAACGATGATAGTCCAAACCCAGTTACACACTGTCTATTAAAGAAGCTGCAGCTATGGCTGCAGCGCCACCACCCTGGAACCCCACTCCGGAGGAGGGTCAAGCAGGGCACCAATCTCTCTTGCCTCAAGCAGACCCCGATATCCCAGACCTCTGTCAGCCCCTGCGTGCTGGCAGAGTACAGCGCAGGTCCCAGCTATGGTCGGCGCTCCGAAGGTCTGGCTATGCCTGTCTCCTTCCACGCTGAGCTGTCACCACTTCCGGTTCACGCGTAGCGCAGCAGCGATGTACTCGGTACCAACTGCCAAAAGCCCTGAACCGATGTGCCCCTCCTATCTATACTACACTAGCCTAGATTTGACCTAGACCGGACTGACTGACCGACCGGTACTGTTTCTGGTTCGGCCTCTCGGCCTCTACCGGACACGACTATAGGCTATAGGACCATCTATCAGAATAGGACCTCAGGGCCTGTCTGTCCTAGGGGTAGCCCGGGCGTGCTATTCGTAGTTAGGGTAGCTGTAGGGAATCCTGTTAGTACCGGAACTGCATATTTCCCAAATTTGCAGATATGTCCCTCACGAATTTCCCTCACAGGTAGGTCTCTCGGTTAGCCCTCAGCTGAACAAAATTTTGAATATGTCCTACCTATAGTACAACCTCGACAGAGAGAGGCTACAGGGTACCAGAAAACAGCAAGTCATTGCAAACCTACCCTCCCCCGGAGCAAGGACCTCCGAGCTAGGGGCGTAGGCGCAAAGCGCCGAAGGGATACTCCCTTTTGTGCTGCCTCATATTTGAGGATAACTGACTTGGCAGTCTTCAGAAGTTCCTTGCGAGTAAACCAGCGGTCCTCGGTATGTGGCTGGTACAAGAACTTCACAACGTACTCCTTATCCGGACCTGTACCTGACTCATCCTCCACAGATTCGACCTCATACCCCTTGCCAGAGATAGGGGACCCGAACTGAGGAGGCCTGTCTGGGAATGCATCAGCTGATGTGAATGACAACAACTTAGATGCATGGAAGACAGGGTAGGTTGGTAGATGCAGAGGGACATCCACTGTATCGGATGGTCCAAATGGATCCTCTCCAACTGTATCTAAGACCTGCCATGGGCCCATGTATCGTGGCAGCAGATTAGGTGATATGTCCTCCTCTCGTGACTGCTCGGAACTGAGTATCCACACCCAGTCACCTGTGCGAATAGTAGAGGGACGTATGTGCTTATTGGCCTGCTGAATCATTGCCTTTTAAGCCTTCAGCAGGTTAGCATGGGCGCGCTCAATGTCCACACGGTAATGTCTGGTGAACTCTGCAGTTCCAGGCGTCAACGTAGGGGTAGCCTTGTCAATGATATCATCGAGAGGCTGTCGTGGTTCACGAGCCCAGTGTAACCGGTAGGGTGTGAAGCCATTAGAGGAGTGTACAAACATGTTATACAAAAGTTGTGCACGACCCAAATGAAGATCCCAGTCCTGCTGATGTGGACTGATCACAGGACGCAGCAATTGGTACAGAATTTTGTTCATCACTTCAGCCTATCCATTGGCTTCAGGATGACGACCAGATGTCATGTCCAATCGGGAATGAAGGTAATCGCTGCAGTAGGATTGCCATTTATTGCTATAGAAACGAGGATCTCTATCACTGACGATGGAGGTGGGTGGTCCATGATGTGTAACCCACCTGTCAGCACACGCCACCTTGACGGCCGAAACATGAGCCTCAGCTGGTAAGGGGATGAACTCTACATATTTGGAGAACCGATCCACACATACCATGACCTGACACATACCACGAGGAGTAGTCCTTCCCACGTCAGTAAAATCAATGGACACTGACTGTACAGGGGTATCAAGGATAGGTAGAGGTTTGGGTAGGTCAAGGGGAGGCCGGCGTACAACCTTGTTCCTTTGGCATAATTCACAGGTTTCCACATAGTGCAGCATGTCACTCCTCATCTCCTTCCAGAAGAAGCGTTGCGACACGGCTGCATAAGATTTGAGGGCACCAAAGTGACTATGAGCATCATGCCACTCTAGCATAAGGAGTGTCCTCAACTTGCGGTCTTGGGGAATGCACAGGCATTCTTCACGTCTGTTGCATGTGTACAGCAGACCTGAAACCAGAGTATATCCTGGTTCAGAGAACAGCCATTTCGTCAAAATGGACATATTATATTTTTTGAACGAAATCAAAACTGACTTTTTTTGCCAAAATCCGGTCGGAATTTTTGGCTCCCAGGTGATCCGACGTTCCCAAGACGCTGGACCCCCTACAAGTATCTGGTCTATGCTTGAGACCAGATTAAAAAAAAAAAAAATTAAAAAAAAAATGGTCTCAAGCAGAGACCAGATACATGTAGGGGGTCCGGCGTTTTGGGAATGCCGGATCCCCAGGAGCCAAAAATTCCGACCGGATTTTGGCAAAAAAAGTCAGTTTTGATTTCGTTCAAAAAATATAATATGTCCGTTTTGACGAAATGGCTTTTAGAGGCAGGATCATCCTGGAGATTCCTCACAATAGGCCAAAAAATCTCATCTTGGGGCAGCGAACGGGCAATGGTCTGACGAGTCTTCTCTCCAAATGAGTGGGTAAAGGAGATCAGGAAAAGAGCGTCAGGCCTACGAGAACGGGCATCTGCTACTCGATTGTAGCAACCCTTCATGTGCTTCAGTTCAAAATCAAACATGTCAATGAACTGAATATAGCGGTCAAGCTTGTCATTCAACTCTCCTTGGGACTTCATTCACTGAAGGGTGGAGCGATCTGAAAAGATCTTGAAGTGTCTGCCCAGGAGGAAGTGCTTCCAGTG